TTTGAGACCCCTAACCAAGATATCTCACTATGCACATACAAGTATTACAAACCCTGAAAAAATTCTGAAATCCAAACACTTCTGGTGGCAAGTATTTTGGATAAGGAAAATTGAACCTGTAATAACTCTTGCTCATCTAAACACAACACTAGAAAAAAGAAAAGACAATACACAAAATGGAAGAAAATATAACACATATCTATAAAATGGACTCACATCTAGAATATATAAAGGAATTCCATGAATCAATACAAAAAAAGCAGATGACCCAGTAGAGAAACAGGCCAAAAATTTAATAGACTTGCAACAAGAGAATCTCCAAATGACCAACAAACTTATGGAAAGGTTATCAGCTTCATTAGCTGTCAAGAAAATATTATAATCACAGGTTGACAATCATGTCAAATTCATTAAAATCGATGAAATTAAAAAGATGAACAAGAATAAACATTAGTAAGTTCTAGTTATAACAAGAACTCTTACACAAAGCAGATACAAAATTAAATTGGTACAACTGTCTTTGAAAACTGCTGGCAGCATTGACTTTTCCCCCTACCCTATGTTGTGGCATTTTCCCCTATATACTCAGAAAAAATGCCCACATATGCCCAACAAAATACATGGACAAGAATGTTTGGCATTATTCATAACAGCAGAACATCGAATATATCCCAAATATCATTCATTGGTACAAAAATTAAATTGTGGCATATTTATACAATAAGAAATATTATACAGCAGTGAAAATAAATGATCTACAGCTCCAAACAACAATATAGAAAAATCACACAAAATGTTGAGACAAGCCAGATGCAAAAGAACATAGATGGTGTAATCATTTAAATAAATATCAAAGGTAGATAAAATTAATTTGTGGCGTCAGAAGTCAGAATAGTGGTTGCCCTTGCGAGGGTGATTAGTAACAGGAACATGGCAGAAGGGAACTGCTGGGCTAAACTAAACGGGCACCACACTTTCTCCATCTGAAAGCCAGTTATGCAAATGTATTCATGTGGTAAAAATTCATTGGGTTATATAATTACAATTTGTGTATATTACTAAATCTATGCTATGCACTATTTCAAAGGTTTACATTAACAAAATTATAGGTTGGATGGCATGAAATTTCATGTATCAGAAACCCTGAGTTTGTCTCAGGCAGGTCTTGCCTAAACTCATGTCCCTCACTCCTGTTCATGTTCAATCTCTGCATTGTCTGAAAACATAAGCTATAAGGAAGGAGGTGTTTTTATTTACAACTCTTTAGGAAGGCAAAACCATACAAGAAAACCTTTCCCTGTGAGTAACAGGGAAATTATTAGGTTGTACATATGATGAATTCCTTCAGTAAAAGAGATTCTCTGACTACAGAGCCTCAACAACCACACTCTGCTGTTTCTTCAGTGGTTATGATGAAGTTGCTCATTTTCACTATCACAGTTATAAAAATTTAGTTTTGGTGTGTGTGGATGGGGGGATCCTTAGTGCTTGTATTCTTATGACCCAACTTCTCTGCAGCTGTTTGTTATATTGATTGAGAAGTATAGGGACTATACACCTAATTATATGATCTCAGGATGGCCCTAACTCAGTCAAACCCCATTCCCTTGAAAAGGTGGGAAGTAAGATGTCTCAGTGGAGGCCAGTGAGGAGCAGAGAAGAAAGACGTTGACACTAGCTTCCTCTATGTCTGGCAGCTCTATAGATGAATTAGCTTCCCTTCTCCTGTACCTTGGAAAGGAAGAAGAAAATGGGGACTACTTGAGAGGGGAAAATACAACTGAAAGGACATTTGAATTTCAATTTAATTAAATATTTTACTAATGAAGTGCTTTTAAATCATTACTGGGTTGTCTCTGATTGGTAAGTTTTAATAGTTCCCCTCCCATTTCCACATTCCAGCATTAGCAGAAATGGGGCCTCCAGAGCTTGCTTGATGAGTTCTGCTATAAAAACCTCTGTCAAAAAAAACCTGTCTGTCTCTGTCATCATTTTACATCTAAATCAGCCCATAGCAGTGTAAAACATCTCCAACGTATAACTGTCCCAGGTAGGGACAGCACTCTGAAACCTGGGGGTAGAGATAAACCAGTCTCTGGAGAGACTTTTTCAAACAATATCTCCTTCTCCCTGCATGCAATCTCCATCACATTATTTTTGAGAGTACAGTGTATATGAAAGATCAGCAAGAATGAAAAAATCTCGAGTAGAAAAGTCAAGAGATATATGGGAAACAGAAGTGCCATGGAAAAATATACACCAGGACAGTTGACTGGCTCTGACCAGTGTAGGTTCTGGTCACTGCAATTCTGTGGCAACAGACAGAGCAACATGGTGGCCCATGCAAGACAGGACCTACGGGAGGAAAATGGCAACTGCAGAAGATGAAGCTGCTATGAACTGCAGAACTTCCTTCCTTTTCTGCATTCATAGAATTGGTCAATGAATGTATGGGCATCTTCTCTCTTATTTTTTCCTGCACCTGAAGCTTAATGCATAGGTTTCCCAATGCCTATGCATCATCGTGAAGTGGTTATTATGTCACAGTTTTGCTCCTTCCCTCTTCATGTTAACAAAATTGAGCAGATTTCTTAAAATTTAAATGCCCACTTTTTTGGGAGAAGAGGAGTGACAATACAATGTTTTCTCAAGCTGTAACTTAGGTGATCTTTAAAGACAGATTTGAATTTTTCTGCATGAGTTGCGCCAGCTAATAGGAATTTAAGAGAGAACTGGCGGGAGAGCATTGGAGCATTCATGCATGGGAAATCAGATGAACACCCACAATATGGGATTTCCTACAGAAAGTTATTCTAGCGGAGAAACACAGACCTAGGTTCACTGCCAGAAACTTTTTAACTAACATGTGGAGCTATCACCCTCATAAGCAGTAAGCTAAAGGTGCCTGAGGAAAACTACACCAATATTTTCAAACACATCAGCTTTCCTGCAGAAAGAAATTTGATTTTTAAAATTTAGATTCTATGTTAGAATGCTTACTCTTGAAAGTCGTTTGTGCAACTTATTTAAGTAAATCTAAAACAAACAGCAAGATAGAACAAGGAATTCATCTATGACAAGGGATGGAAACCAAGGGCTCTTATTTCTATTCCATGGCTATAGTGCTAGTCTTCCTGAAATATTTACTTTTAAATGGTCTACTTAAAACCACATCAATTTTCTTCTTGCCATGCAATTCTAGATTGCAGTGTGACTTCAACTTCAGTTTCTACTCGTTAAGGTCAAAGAGACACATTCTAACACTCATCCTGTATCAAATAGGCTCATTTACCTTTTGAAGTTGCCCAAATTTTAAAAGATAGTGGTTCAAATCCATGAATCCTGCACATCTCTGCTACATAGGTATACAGAGGTGTGTATCACATCATACGAAAAAATTTACCCCTGCAGGCTTTCTAAAAGGTAGAGGTAAAAACGGAATCTTTGCCCTCAGGTTATTTTATAACCATCTTCCCCATCATGTAGAGAATCTGGAATAATGCTGATGTCACTCATGGCTGCTGGTTTCTCAGTTTCCTCATTTACAAAACGGGGCTAATGGTAATACCTGCCTCGTGTGCTCGTTGAGCAGAGTAACAGAAGAGGGCTCCTGATAATAGTTGTAACTGCTCAATAAATGTTAACTATTGTTCTATTATTTTTGTCATTTTTATTATTGCTATTATAATTGCACAATTTTTAAAAATTAGACAATTAAGGAATAGTCTTTCTGTTGGACAGATGGCTCATGCTCATTCATCATGTATATTTTGAAATTCAGCCAGAGCTATGATAAGTTATAGTCTCTATTTTGGTGATCTTTAAGCCAGACTGCTATAATATTTTATTTTACAACATCCTTGAAAAAATTCAGCAAGGCTGTTTATGGGTGCAAAATGTTACAACTTGAATGTTACTTTCCAAAAAGATGACTCAATATATTCTAGACTACTTGAGAGACAATATTGTGGGCTCCCTGATGTAAAAGGATTTTAAAAACCCTTGAGCATATGGTGTTTGCTTCACTTTTGTTACCCTGGCCTACCACTGTTGGGGAACCTATTCATCTGTTTTGGACTGATGTGTCACATAAAAGAAGAAAAAGAGAGAAACAACTTGCAGTCAAATGCAATGTAGAAAGATGTGGCTTTAGTGATTGTGCATCTTAATTAGAAAATTTCTTCTGCAGTAAGCAATAAATTTGTATTTTTGCCTAGAGATCATTTTAAGGTTCCCTATCTCATGATCCATACTTATTTGTTGCTTTCTTTTAAGTTGTAATCAATTTCCAAGGTGCTGATTTCACTGCTCAGAAGATGAACAATATAAAAGTAGTCCCTTTCCATTCTTAAAGTGTGGCAAAGAAAAAAAAAAAACAGAGGATAATTTCTTGAATGACTTTTTTTTTTTTTTTTTGCAGTTCTGGGGTTTGAACTCAGGGCCTACACCTTGAGCCACTAACACTAGCCCTTTTTTATTTTTATTGAGTTTTTTTGAAATAGGGTCTCATGAACTATTTGCAGAGGCTGGCTTTGCCTCTGATCTCTGCCTTCTGAGTAGATAGTATTATAGACGTGAGTCAATGTTTTCCTGGCTCTGAATGACTTTTAAAATTATTTATCTGTGGTAATATCTTTGCAAATGACCAGATCAGAAGTTTTAGCCATTTGGCTAAAACTGATGAATAACAGACTGAATGAGGTTGAAGAGATACTTCAGTGAAAAGTCCATGTGGGGAATAACAACAACAAAAATCTCAGCTCTACCTTGATTATGTATTTGTGTTACAAACCATGGCAACTCATCAAGTTAGATGGACCTACCTATGCGCTACAGAAGAGGTGTCAAAGGTTTTATAATTCTACCTGAGATGCTACAGAACAGCCTCGCCTCCAAGGGAAAGTTGTACTCCTTTCTCCCATACAGCATCAATATTTCAATCCTTATTCAAATCAGGACAATGAAGAAAACTACAGGCTGTGCACAGAGCTAGGCAGTACAAAGCATTCTGACCTATCCTTGCTTCCAGTGAATTCTTCTCTTCTATCTTCACTTTTCCCTTTACAGAAATTCTTGAACCTTAGTCACATATGAAGAAAAAATACCTGTCATATATGGGAAGAAAACAGTCCACTCAGCCTGCAAAAATACTGAAAAGAGAGCACCTTTATGCATCCCTGGTTTCACTGGTCAATCTGAAAGATCTTTAGCCCTTGCAGTGTGTAATAATATTGTTAGTACATTAAATTTAATTATAAGAGGTTGAACAAAAATACCTACCAATACACAGGACGTTCTCGTGCACTTATTTCAAACTAGTGGGCTACTAAAATGGCAAGCACTTCTCTAGTGTTTTCTAAAACAAAGACCCTTACTGATGTCTGTTAATGTTTTCCCAATGGTGAAATGTAAAGCTGCGTACTGGTAGCTTACCCTTGTCATTGCAGCTACTTGGGAGGCTGAGATAGGGAGGGTCAGTTCCAGGTCAGCCCTGGCAATAAGTTCAGAGACCCCCATCTCAACCAATAGCTGGACTAGATGGTACAGCTGCCCTATCAACGACAGTGGAAACATAAAATAGGATGACTGAGGTCCAGGCCAACCTGGGCAAAATGCAAGGGTCTATTTCCAAAATAACCAGAGCCAAAAGGGCTGGAGGCATGGCTCAAGAGGCAGCACACTTAGAGGTGAAATCATGAGTTCAAACCCCAGGATCGCCAAAAATATATATGTATATAAAATGTAAATTTTATTCAGTAAAGCTCCACAAGTATTTTTCACAGACATAATGAACCACCTCTGAACTACAGACTCCTTAAGGCATTAATTTGTTCATTCGTTTACTTAGTCACGCATCAAACATTTCAGGCACACATTTCATGCGATGTCAGGACACAAAGATGATCACATGGTCCTGGTCTCCCTAAAACCCTACCCAGTCACAGTTAGTGTCTTCAGACGACAGAAACGCCACGAGTTGGATAGACAACAGCCCTACATAGCAAAGGCTAAGTCAAATCTGAAACAATCACCATCTTCATCTGACCAGAAGTTGATGTTCTCAAATTACACACTTCATTAGAGAACACAAGTTAGGAAAAAGCAAGCAAACCAGGCAGGATCTTGGCGTGTCCTTTGTCATGGAAGGGGATGGGTGGGGGGTGCCCTTGCCGCTTTAGATGGGCCTGTCTTCTACCTACCTGCCAGCGTGGAATGATTCCCTTGCTCCTTTTTAGGGCTGTCTATAAGCAAATCACTACTCAGGTGGAAGAGGGAAAGGCGCTCTAGTTTTCCTACCATCTCAAGCTTCCCCTGAGGGTCATCTTTCTTTCTTCCCACCCAGCCCGGGAACCGACATGTTGCAGAACCGAGTCTTCCTACCTACTGCGACCCAGCCCGGCTGGGCAGGGCTAAGCTGGACTCCTCCCTGCCAAGGCTCTGTAGGTCCTCACCAAACGCCCCAAACCCAGGCCCTGCGGACCTGCGCGCTGCTGCTGCGGAGGCGCGGAGGTTTGAAACGTTGCCTTGCACACGAGGACCTCGCCCCGCCCACGAGGGCCTCGCCCCGCCCACGAGGGCCTCGCCCCGCCCCAACCCCGCCCCCACTCCAAGACCAAGGCCCCGCCCTCAGCTCATGGCCCCGCCCCTCCACAGCCATTTCCACCTTTCCTGTGCTATGATCAGAAGATCTCAGGATTGCTTGCGCTTTTCCTTTCAGATTCTAAGAGTAATAGGATCATTGAAAACAATTTGAAAAATACAAAAAAATGGAAGAAAAATAAAAATTATCTGAAAAGCACTGAGAACATTTTAATGGTTATCTTTGTAGTCTGTTCCCTAGGAATAGATAAAAAGATGTGGTGCCTTCTCTCTGCCTCCTACACGCCTCCCCCCCCCCAACAAACACACAAGTACAATACACTTTATAAATTTGTATATAAGTTTTTAAAAGAAAAATCTCAACACTTTTTAGTATAGAATATTCAATGTAGGAGGTTATAGGTCCTATTTATATATTAATTTTTTTTTTATTTAAAGAACTGCCATGCATCTTCCACACATTTTAAGAAGTAGTTTTATCCCTACGTTTCAGTCCTCTATATACCCTTAGGAATTGCGTCTTTTTCCTAAATACTATTGTAACTTGGACGGCAACCATTCCCTTACTTTTCTTTACAGTTTAACAGAGTCTATGTGCTTCTCTTTTATTGAAATAAATCATACATACAGAAAAATGAATATACTGCATGTTCAATCAATTACCACAAAATGAACGCACTCTAATAAAAGAGAGAAAACATGCCCAGCACCAAATGCCCCTTCTAATCGCTACTCATTTTCTACTCCACAAAGGTATGACATATTTAGTTTTGTCTCTTTTCAAAAAGTTATTAAATTAGGCTATTTACACTTCTACTGCTATACATCGCCGTCGACTGTAGTCATATTTTACAAAGTGCACTCACAATGATTAGTGAATTTCACTTCTGGGGAAAAAATGGGGACAAAATTGAATCAAACAATTCTGCCCACATTTTCTCCTTCTCTTATGCAAATATGGGTAAAGTATATTTCAAGGTAAGGTGTAAGGATCAGTTGAAATGAGGTGCATGAAGTATCTGCTGTGTAATAAAATAAGCTTTCAGACCTCTTTCAGTAGTGACATGCTTCCTGCCAGCTCACTTACACTGTCACTGATGTATGCCTTTAAAACTTTTTAACATAGTAAACAATTATGTGAACTTTTATTGTAATCACCACATAAATCAAGATTTAGAATGCCTCTATTACCCAACAAATAATCCCAACACTACTGACCATTTGTGCTTTTATCATGTCTATCAGGAGTTCAATGCTGTATATTACATTGTAATATTCCATTGTGTGTATACCACAGTTTAACTGTTCACCAGTTGAGGAATATTTAGGATTATCATGAATACAGCTGCTATGAACATTTGCATGCATGGTGTTGTATAAATATAAGTTTTCATTTTGTTAGACAAATATCTAGGACTCATATTTCTGGGTCGTATGATATTTGCTTAACTTTCTAAGAAACTGCCAAATCATTTTCCAAAATTCCTGTACCATTTGCATTCCCACCAGCAATATAGGAAATTTCCAGTTACTCCCCGTTCTCACCAGTATGGTTTTTCATTTTAAAAGAGATGTCTCCTTTTAGTTTTAATTTGCATTTCCTTAATAATGAATGGTGATGTTGAGTTTCTTTTCCTATGCTGATTTGTCATCTGTGTCTTTTTTGGTGAAGTATCTAGTTCAATCTTGTGCTCATTAAAAAAAAATCAGATTATTTTATTATTACTGAGTTCTGTAAGTTAGTTTTTGTTCTGAATGTAAACCTTTATCAGGCAATTGTTTTGCTAATATTTTCTTCCAGTCTGTGCTTGTCTCTTCATTCTGTTAGCAATGATTTTCAAAGAGAAGCTCTTAATTTTGATGTGCAGTTACATTTTTTAAAGTGGTTTGTGCTTTGATTTTGTATCTAAGAAATCTTCCTAACCCAAAGTCACAAAGATTTTCTCCTCATTTTCACTTGGAAGGCACATGTAGATTTTACATTTTGGATGTGATCCTTTTGGAGTTAGTTTTTATATGGAGTGCAACTTATAAGTTGAGACATTTTGCACATGGAGGTCTGATTGTTCAGCACCAATCATTGAAAGAATTTCTGGTTTTCCACTGATTGGCTTTGGACCTTTGTTGAAAAATCAATGTGTGGATTTGTTTCAGGACTGTATTCTGTTCTATTATCTGTGTACGCTTTTTCTTCAATATTGCATTGTGCTAGCTACTTAATGTAAATTTTAATTTCAGGTGTTCTATACCACTCAACTTTGTTCTTTTTCAAAATAATTTGTACATTCTATTTTCTTTGCTTTCCAATTTAAATTCTAGAATCAGTCTGTTCTCATCTATAAAAAATCTTGCTGAAATTTTGATTGGAATTGTGTTAGTATCTATAAAACAATTTGGGGAAATTGATATCTTTACCATTGAGTCGATCTGTTTTCATTGCAAATTTCTCTGTTCATTTGGACCTTTGATTTCTGTTATGAATACTTCATAGTTTTCAGTTTACATTTTTGTACATAATGAATACTTCATAGTTTCAGTGTACATTTCTCATACAATTTTGTAAGATCTATACCTAAACATTTCATGTTTTGGGTGTTCTTATAAAGTTTTTTATTTTAATGCCATAATTTCTGGTTCATTGCTATTCTATAGACATGTGACTAAATTTGTCTATCGATGTCATATATTTCTTTCTAAACTGAGTATTAGCTTTCTTTTTTTTAAGTTTCTTAGAATTCTCTACAGAGTCATGTCGCCTATGAAGAGAGATAATTTTTCTTTTTAAATCATAATTAGATAAATGATTTTGTCTAATGCTTTTTCTGCACCAATTGATATCATCATATGACTTTTCTTTGTTAACCTATTATTATGGCAGATTACATCAACTGAATTTAAAATTTTAAACTAGTCTTGTATTCTTGGGAAAAATCTATTTTAATGGACATACCCCCATTCAGGTTTTATCTCTTTTTGAGCTAATTTTATTAAATTATCCCTTAATACTCTTTAATTGACTTACATTTTATTTTATTTTATTTATTTGTTTTTTTATTTCCTTTATTCATATGTGCATACAATGATTGGGTTATTAGACCTACATTTTAAAAAGTGTTGTTTATGGTGTTTTTCTCACCTTTTAGTCTTGATGTATTTATAATTAAATTGTCTTTTCAAATCAGATGGTTGTTTTTTCTTTTTATTAGTCTTTTCAAAGACCCAGGTTTCTATTTTATTTCTATTTTTATCTTTTAGTTCTTTGTCCATTATTTTTGACCCTGTTGTCAACCAATATAAATATCAGGATTATAAATTTTCTTTTTAGTACTATGGTAGCTTCATCAATTAATATATACAAATAGTACTATGTGTCATTCAATTTTAAGTCTTTTTTCTCATTTTCATTATAATTTCTTATTTGGGAACATATTTTTAGGTTGCCAACAAATAAACATTTTAATTTTTTTCTTTCTTTTATTTTATCATTTTTACATTTACTCACATGTGCATGCATTGTTTGTGCCACCGTCCCCCCCCACCCCCGAGACTTCCAGGCAGAACCTGTTCCACCCTCTTCTTTGATTTTGTTGAAGAGAAAATATAAGAGAGAATAAGAAAGACATAGTGGTTTTGCTAGTTTGGGATAAAGATAGCTGTACAGAGAGATTCCTAGCATTGCTTCCATGCATATGTGTATTACAACCCACATTGGTCCACCTCTACCAGACCTCTTCACTAATTCCTGGTCACCTTCCCATAGTGACTTCTGCCATTTTAAGATTACTTTTTTTGCTCCTCTACAGTGAGCACATCAACCACATTCAAGTTTTAGGTTTCCTTCCCTTCCGCTATTCCTCCTGGATGCGTTCTCCCCTTAGTATGTAACCCATGTTCAAGAATATTACTGAATTTTTTTGAGATCTATAATCCACATATGAGGAGGAACATATGGTTTTTGGCCTTCTGAGCTTGGCTAACTTTGTTTAAGATGATGTTCTCCAGTTCCATTCATTTACTTGTGAATGACAAAATTTCATTCTTCTTTGTGGCTGAGTAAAATTCCATTGTGTATAAATACCACACATTTTCTTAATCCATTTGTCAGTAGTAGGACATCTTGACTGTTTCCATAGATTGGCTATATTGTAAATAGTGTGCAATAAACACAGGTATGCAGGTGCTTTTTTAGTAAATTGAGTCCCATTCCTTTAGGTATATCCCTAGGAGTGGGATTGCTGGATCATTTGACAGACCTATGTTTGGTTTTTTAAGAGCCTCCATATTGTTTTTCAAAGTGGTTGTACTAGTTTCCATTCCCACCAGCAGTGCACAAGGGTTCCCTCCCTGCACCCATCCTCGCCAACACTTGTTGTTGGTGGTGTTTTTGATGATAGCTATTCTAACAGGAGCGAGGTGGAATCTTAGTGTGGTTTTGATTTGCATTTCCTTTATGACCAGGGATGGTGAGCATTTTTTCATGTGTTTTTTGGTTATATGAATAACACTTTAAAAAGAAAAAATTAAATTATTAACATTCATTTAAAATTTTTTATTAACATATAATAATTGTATATGTTTGGGGGATGCAGGGTAATATTTCAATACATGTATACATTGTGTACTGTTCAAATCAGGATATTTAGTTTATGAATCATCCCAAACATTTATGATTTCTTAGTCATGAGAAAATTAAAAATCATCTTTTTTAGCTATTTTGAAACATGTGATTCAATATTGTTAAATGTAATCACCCTTCTACCCAGAAGTTAATAGTATACCCCAAATTATTTCTCATAATTGGTTTCCTTTTTTTACAGTAGTTATCATCAATGTGTAG